TCTTTGGATCTGAAGCATCAAAACCATTTTCAACCAAATCCCACAGCCCATGAGATTTCAAAATGGTCTTCATTCGAATGCTCCAAAACTCATAGTTTTCTCTATTGAAAACTGGTGTACGAAGCTCAGCAGAGCTTGATCCTGCCATGTTAGACATCGGATTCAACCAGAGATGCTTCGTGAAGTTTTGAGTGAGCTCAACGTCAGCTCAGCCAAAACACCAGCTCTTGATTCTCACAGATTCACGCCCAGCAACCAACCGAACCTGGGTCTGAGGCCATGTTGAAAATTTGGATCTTCCCGTTGGGTCCCACTCTAACAACACCGATACTGTCCCCACTTTACCACCCGCCCAATCTGTCAGGTGTGGGGTTTTTTTATCACAAAAGGCCTCGGTATTAGTTAGAGTGTGGTAATTCTATTTAAACCCATTTGTTTTCTTTCACTCCACCGATGTGGGATTCCAACACTCCCCCTCACGTGTAATCACACGTGAAGATCCACACATCAGCAATTGAAACTCAGAGGTCAGCTCTTGTTGGGCCCACTTGTTTTTCAATGGAACTCAGGGGTCGGCTCTTAGCTTCGTTGGCATTTTTAAGAGTCCGACTTGTTTCCTTTGTTTTTTTTTTCCTGGGTTACAAGCATCGTTAGCTTGTACGAACCTAGCTCTGATACCATGTTAGAATTCTATGGTTGTATCTGTATTTTTAGATTTAAGAAAGATGTATATTCTGGAGATTTTGCTAGAGAGGAAGAAGAAGAATGAGAAGGCACTGTTCTATTGCATTTTTACAAACAGTCGGCTTACATAGTGTGACTGACAGAGAGAGAGAAATGTGATTCTTCTCTAACAGAATTACAGCTGTCACCCTATGAGGTGCTTACACTTGTCATGCCAAATCTAAGCTAGAGAATCCACCTGGACTATAATCCAAAAGTTCTCATTACATCATATAAACTAGACATAAAGGAAAATGAGAAATAAGCCTTGGTGACTTCGGCTCTAAGAAATCAGGTAGAAAAAGGATTATATTTCAACACATTTATGCAAACTCTGTTTTTAGAATTCATTTATGTTACTAGTGGAGTGCTGCTGTATTTTATATTTCGTTCCTGTAATGTTAGGATGTTTAGCTTGAGTAGTCTAGTTTATCCAGTAGATAACTTCTCCCCTGTTTTGTAATGTTTTTGTTTCCTCTAATGAAAGCAGGTTTTGCTTATCCTGAACTGCAGAAGCCTACTTTTTGACATAGGTGGCATGGCACAAACTCGCATCCACATTTCCTTCCCTTTTGGCATGCTGTCTCATCTTTTCCATTTTGTTACCAGCTTGAAGCTTGTGTAGATATGTTATGCTCTTGTAATTCTGATCACAAACATCGCTTGACAAATGGAAAGATCGCAATTAGGTCTTTCGGTGATCTGGAGGTTTACTTTAACACTTGTTTTCGTTTCATTCTTTTGCCTCATCGTAACTGTTTAATAACAGCGATGGTTGGGGGGGAGGGGGGACAACAATACAGAATTTAAAATTTCTGATAATCAATAGTAGTTTGCATATATCAGCTGGGACCTGTATGACTGTATTATGTAATTAATTAATTCTCTTATTGTTTTTGTACTGTTAAAAGGAGTCAGCCACACAAAATAAAAAAGGAGGCCTCTAATTTCGTAAATTTTTTCAAAAGTGATCATTCATCCGTTTCTTTTTCAACAATGGAGGAATTTATACTAATCGTCTGGTCCATCGGCTGCTTCATTCCCTAGTAGCTTCATTTCCTGTCCATTGCTTCATTTCTGTTTGGATTCTTAATTAAATCTGTCCTGGAATTGAACAAGGGTTAGGTTAGCTGTATAATTTGCGGTTTTATATACATTGATTAAAACCAGCATATTCTAAGGTTCATTTAGAATGTAATATCACCAAAATTATAGAGTATACTCCTATTACAATTAATTTGTTGATTCTAATTTGAACTTGTAGGAACAGACCAAACATGTTCATACGTGGCATAACTCAAGTCATCATCATTTGGGACAGAAAAGCAGCCTT